TGGCAACCATTCTTAGGCGAAAATTGTAGGAGTTTGATCAACAAGCCAAAAATCTTCTTTGTGCAGGTTCACAAATTGCGGAATATTTTAAATCAAATTCCAAAGCTTACATCATTATTCTAATTTATTTTCTAGGCGTGTCGCGGCGACCGATTAGACAAACCTGTCGTCTTTAATGAATTCGCTGTGATGACTCGACAAATAGGAGGACCGTCCGTGCCCGAAGAAAGACCGCCTGTGATAACATACGCCATACCAAATACGGCCGATCTGTTAGTAATGTATTCGACATTTGAGAGTAAGTTAATTGATGAGAGCATTGCAGACTTGGGCACTATTGTTAAAAAATAACTGTAAACATATTATTTTACAGAGTACTACTCATTTCGTAATGTTGAAAATGGCTCTTGGTTCATACAAAGTCTTTGCGAAGTTTTCGCTGAGGCTACCAACAAGCCACACGCAACAACGGAAGGGTTTGATCTCTTACGTCTCCTCACCGCCGTAAACCGCAAAGTGGCTTATGAATATCAGTCATCTGCCAAAGTTGAGGTATTGAATCAAATGAAGGAAATGCCCAACTTTCTATCGACGCTCACCAAAACTTTTTATCTTAAAGTGAAAAGTCTACCACAAAAACGAATTATTTAAAAATTACCCAGCTTTCTGAACAATTAACGGCACTGAACATTCATACATACATATGTACATATAAACTGTAACAATTTTGTTTAGCTATGTATATGACAACAAATAACTACACACTTATTTACTACATACAATTTATATTCAAAATAAAAAATCGCTTTTTTATCATATCTCTTTACTGACATACATACATATATGTATACGTATAATTCACGAGTAGTAGGCTTGTAGTTTAGCGCTTATCACCTTGTTTGGCTTATCATTACTTATGCCATGTTCTGGCCGGCAACGAAAACACTTTAAAAACGAGTTTTGGGATTGTAGGCTGAAGGCTGTTCGCGCCGGCTGTTAGTGTTTTCTTTGACATTTCTTACATCAACTATTTATAGTTTTATTAAGAACAAAAAAAAAATACTTTTCTTTAATTTTCTTTTCATTAACAACCTTTTACTTTTATTATTATTTTAATTTGGCCAGACAATTAACGGTCCGAACTGGAGTACTGGAGTGGAACGCGAGTTTTCAAGTAGTTTTCAGCGAAAACTGGTTTTCGTTTGACATATTTTACATTGACGAAAACACAAGTTTTAGGTCGAAAACCAGTTTTAGCAATGAAAACATGTTTTCGATGTCGGTCAGAACACGGTATAAGGCAGTAGTGGTTAAAATTGATGGTATACATAGGCATATGCATACACTTGTTTCAGTAGATTATAAAGGTGTACTCCAAAAATAACATTCAATAATTATAAGAAGCAATTACATGAATGTTACGTGTAAAGGAATTATTACCATTTTTTTATTTGCTCGCTTAGTGTAAGTCGATTAAGGTCAATGTGGTTCCACCAATATTTCATTTGTTTAAACTTTTAAGTTCTCGTTCACAGTTGCTATTTAGGATACAAAATATAATTTAGAAACAAATTCACCAAGTTTTTGTATTTTATCATGATTCATAGGTTTTCAATTATCAGTCGTTGATTACGCTGTTATCAGCCTGCAATCTAATCTTCGTAATTCGCCGTTTGTTTCTACTTCTTGCATATATGTACATACATGTACGCATTTTATCTATACATCCGAAATTAAAATTTGCAATAAATATTTGTTCAAAATATTTTTTATCTTTATTCTAGCATTTGTAATGTGATCTAATTGCATTTTTAATTTTACCCGAGGGTATTACTTATGTATGTACATTAGGGTGGTCCAAAAATATAGTAACAAAATAAAGTCGGAATTTTTATGCTCTCACCCCCTAGGGGAAGAAACTTTATTTTTGTTTTGAAATCCAAAAAATATTTTTTATGTAAATCAAAATTTTTCGATCGGAAACCTCTTTTTCTCTTCAGGAGATTCCTAGTAATAATATCCAATTCTTTATTTAATAATTTTATAATTCTAAAAATTTTTTGTGCGCTGAAACTTTATGTACCCAGGTATGAAAAAAACTCGTAAATTCTACAGTTTTGGTGTTTCCATTCTCAAATTTTTACAGCGTACTCCATAAAGTCTGACAACTATTCAGGTTGAAAATAATAAAAACCAAACATGATGAAGTTAATAAAAATAAATAAAAAATTGCAATTTTCTAATCTAAATTTTTTTTATTTTAATCTATCTCACACAGTCATGGAAAGCCGAGGTAATTACGCATATTTCGATACCTTCTCGGACAAATAGTTTATTAAATGTAAACAATTGAAAAAAGATACTTCTCCGTGAGTTCAAAATTTCGGGAATTTTCTTTTTCGAGATTTTGGAATCTGTTGATGAAATAAAAAATAGGTGTCTTCTTTTTTTCGATAAAGAATGTAAAAAAGAAATATTTCAAGCTAAAAAAAAATATTGTATGGAATGCCCCATATATCGTCGCTGGAATAATGAAATAGTGTAACATGAAAAGTATAGTTTTAGGAAAAACGAATTGGAAGTTTTTATAAACCATTACAAACCATACAAATACAATTTCGTTTTTCGGGAATTAGAGCCAAAGAGATATTTAAGAAACCTAAAGATTTTTCTAATAGATTAAAGGATTATCTATCCAGTGGTGGAATTATCGAATAATAGTGTATGTGGCATTTACACTGTTTCTTTATTCTAGCGACGATATACTTTTTTTAAATCTGATTTTTGATGCAGGTGCTCTAAGAGCATTTATGCATCAAAATTAAATTTTGAAAAAGGTTCACTTACTTTATTTTCGCGGCAAGGGCTCAATATGCATTGCGGCTTGAAGGAAACATGAGACCGTCGAATTTGTGTTTTTTTGTTGAATTTCATTCCATTCGTTCTATGTACTAGTTTACAAATATACACGTATACTTCTACTACCACAAACATTTTCATAGGCTGTCTTTCTTTGATTTTGAATCGAAAAATCTTTGCGATCATATTGTACTAGCAATATAGAGGTATTATATATATGATTATAAATCATTTCTATGAAAAGTGTTTTTTTTTTTCATATAAAACTCATGGAAAACTTTGAGCGACCTTTAAATGTTTTCCGATTTCAAAATAAATTAATGGGGGTATTTTTTTACGGTATAGAACAATCCTAGGGGGTGCATTTTTGGACCACGCTAATGTACATATGTGTAATATTTTTCACATAATGCCCGTCTGTATATAAAGTAGCGCCTCGATAATGGGTAATTGCTGATAAATTATCGATCTAGCAAAATCTTGCTTTCTTATGAAAGTTCTGAGAAATGGGCGTCGTACCGCACTTTTACACCAAAAAAAAATGTGTATCTTGAAAACTGCTTCACCAATCTCCGCCAACTATATATATTTATATATATATGTACAATGCGTTTTATCTGAGATGGGGCGTTATTTAATCAAATTCTGAGATAGGGTGTTTTTCAAACAAAATTTTGAAGTATGGCGTTCTTCAATAATATTCTGAAGTAGGGCTTTTTCGAACTCACTGTCGACCTTCCACTCAGGTGTCGATATACAGGTATAAAGATTACTCAGAATCTGTTTTATTTTCATTTTTCCCCTATTCGTTATTTTGAACTTCTTTCATCAAAAAAAAACCGAAAACCTGAAATAATTAATAAATTTCTCCGAAACTATCAGGCCTATGGAGAAGTAACGTATACACAGTTTTTGGAGAATTTTGTTAGCTTTCATTTTCCGCATTTCGTAGTTAAATTGGTTCGTGTGATATACGTGATCAAGTCGAACCACCTTTTGTTTTAAACCGTCAGTATCTCGAAAACTTATTCCCAAAAATAACTAACTCGATTTTCGAAATCAGCGAGCAATTCTTTATGGGAATTCGATAGTGGCATCCAGAGTCACTTCTGCTGGGAACCAGTGCAATTAGCGAAATTTTCCAACAAAAAATTAAAATGAAAAAAGTGCAATTATTAATCAAGCAATTAGTTTTCTCTAATTACTCGTAATTCACACCGCTTTCATCAGGGGAAACCAAGCTAAAAAAACTCGCTAAATACACTGCCTCATAGATAGCGTGAATTATTATGTAGAACACAACTTTTTATTTTATTTTATTTTTTTTGAATAAATACATAAATAAGGTTATTATACTAATATACAGGGAACGGACTATTAGGACCTATCCTAAAAACCTAAAAAAAAGGAAAATAAAATAGAGAAATAGGCAGGAAAATGCACTAAAAATAGCAAAAATGGCCAAAGAAGGCACTAAAAAAAAAGACGAAAACTGAAAACTGAAAACTAACACTGGTTTACAGGAAAAATATTCAGCGGACGCCACTATCCAATTGCTATATAGAATTGCGCGCTGATTCCGAAAATCGAGTTAATTTTTACTCTATGGATAAGTTTACGAGATATTTTCAGGTGTACTTGGCGTATGAGTAACATTCTGTCCTGCTCATTTTTCATACAAAAAATCTTGGCGCATTTTTATATGACCACTTATTACTTCTTTTTGATACAAGTGGCGTCTCAATATCTATAAATACTCCTAAAACGTATTCTTTGCTTTCCAGCTCTGAATCAATGTATAGAGTGCTGTTTCTGTTGTTCTGCCTATCAGGTATGCGTGTTGTGATCTTAACAAACCATCGGAACCCAGCTTTTCCCCTATATGGGCTGCCAAAATCTTTTCAAAGACTCTTAGAATGAAAAAGGTAAGAATAATCGGTCTCTAATCCTTCCAGTATAAATGGCTAATTTTACCTTCTTTGGGCATAAACACAATCCCCTTGGACTCTAAACATCCGTTATAGATGCATCTCAGCCATGGTACTACTAGATCTTAAGATTTTTGTATAATGGCTGGAATATTGCCGTCGGTCCGGGAGATTTAAAAGAGGCCAATTAGTTAATGGCCCACTCCAGTCTCTCGAAGGTGATTAGGTCTTTAGCTTTTAACCCAATAGCGTTTCTGACCGGCTCAGAGTCACTCAAGACCATGCAAGACTTGGCATGGAAGAGTGCTTTTATAGCAGCTTTTTAAGTGTTGTCACCTCCGCCGTTTCTTCCATGCTTGTGCAGAAGTCTTTCCACGCGCTTTGTTTGGCAACCCGGACTTATTTTTTGTAGAGCTTAAGTAAACTCCTCCAGCTTGAATATTTCGCGAACATATCGCCTTCTTTCCCCTTGTTCCCTGTTCTACCAGGAAGGCTGTGATCTGCGCCTCGCTCGCATCGGGGGTCAGGAAATTTTGTATGCTTTGATAAGAGCTTTAGTTAGAGTTTCAAGTCTAATCTCGAGTTCTTCGAGAGAGCTAATTGGCATAAGTAGACCCATTTCCCTCATCAGAATCTTTCTATAAAGGTCCCAGTTCGTGTTGATAGGATTTTCACGGGATAGGGATCAATATTAAAACTATATTATGATCTGAGAACGAGGGTTCTTCCCTCACCCTCCAATCTTTTATTACAGACCAGAGTTGGGCAACGTCTATTCGAATGACGAATAACAAATATATAAATTGTTGGCTTCTTTATTCGTAAATAATAAATAACTTAGTTTATTCAAAACATATATGTATTCGAATGATGGAGAAATTATTTTATTATGAATCAACTGTCGTCAACAAATTTTCATTAAAATTTCGAGCTTTTTAATATGATTCTTTAGAGGATTTTTGGGTATGCAATTTTAATCCAATAAAGTGCAAGTTTCAAGCGTCTAGAAAGTCGCGCTTGTTTTTAATATTTTGTTTTTATGGTTGTTACCAATCCGCAAGACCTGGGATCGGGCCCACTTTCAGACTAACATCAAAAACAAAAAAAAAACAGTTGTTTCTAATAGCGTTCGCCCTTAGGCAGGCAATGGCAAACCTCCGAGAGTATATCTACTATGAAAAACAGCTTCTCATAAAAATGCAATCGCCGTTCGGAGTCGGCGTACTACTTTAGGTCAAGGCGCAGGCGGAAAATCGGAGGAGAAACTCGGCCAAGCACTAAAATATTGTGTAAGCGCTAATCTGCGGAGCTGCGTCAAAAGTAAAGTAAAGTATTCTCCAGCAAAATCAAAACATATATTTTTGAATTTATTTCACCAGTTCTCTTTACCGATGGCGTACTGTATTGACATTATCTATTAGCCGCTGTAATTAAACGAAGGCGTTTAAATAACTATAATTATTTTGCTTACACAACCAATTAAAACGTTTTTGAAGCCGGGAGTACCAAATGCTAATAACACATTACTTTGCAGCACACCAAGCCAATGGAATCGCTGAATTAAAAGGCTCAATTTTATTCAATATTTTCTGCGTTGCCTCATTTAACAAAAACAGGCTTCAGTGAAATACGGAAAAGCGGGGACTTTGAAGTATTGCAGTTATAGCGACGGTTCCAAAAGTTTGCGGTGCAGCAAGTCTAACAATAAGTTGCATTGCCATAAAACTTATACCTACGATTAGCTAAGATGCTATGTTCGACAAAATGGCGCCATCTTTATAGTGTCGCTTTCTTCTCCAGCACCCGCATAGTTCTGCTTATCGCTCGTGTCATGTTGCTGGCGCCCATTCTTCACAGCAAGCAACGTGGCATATATCGAACACATAACGCCTTGAGCTGCCTCGCAATATTGATATTTATTTTCTTGTGTGGCGCCGCACCATTCTTGCTGCGCATCGTCGCCGCCACTTACGCACATGTGGGCCTTCAGTACGACGATATTTTTGTGCTTATAGCCATGGTATCACAAGTCAGTGACATAAGCATAGTTTTGATGAGCATGCTTTCACAGATCTGGCAACGGCAACAGCTATGCGAATTTCTAAATAAACTGGAGCACACTGTACAATGGATACGCGCCATATACGGCCGGAAATTGATAAATGGCCGAGCACTGTTGTTGCTGTGGTTGCAAATAGGTCTGACATTTTACGATGCACTCACTCAACTTGTCTTTCTATCGAAATTGGCATTTAAAATCGATCCGTGGCACTTTTTGGTGAACCTGGCGTCACTGTATCTGCAGCAGTACCGCGCCACTTTGGTACTATTAATTTTTGGTTCCATAATATTGCTAACCGCTTGTTATGAACAAATGGCATATTACTTGGAGAACATCTCAACTGGTCCAGCAGATGAGCTAATGCATTTTCAGGATTTGATTTTATTGCACAATGCGTTAAACGGACTCCTTCGACAGCTGAAAGGCATATTTCAATTGCCGATTTGTTTGATTGTTTGTGGCGAGTTCATCAACGTATTGGCCAATTTATATGCGCAGCTATATTATTATGTTATAACAAGAGCTTGGTGGTTAGCATTCGTCTTCTATTGCGCCAAGCTTTGCATTGAATTGTATTTACTCATCCATGTGGTGCATTTCTGTTGTAAACAGCAGAAGAGAGTTGCTCATCTTTTCCTTGATCGCGATATAGATTTGAAGGAGGGAGCAGAGGTAAGTTACATATATATGCAAGATAAATGTACAAATGGATAATTTTTTTCAGTGCCGCTTCGAGTTAACTCATTCAGATGCATTGTGGCCGCAGTCAATTAGATTTGACATTCTCGGACTTTTTGAGCTCAACAACGAGTTCTTGCTTTTTCTCATTTCCTATTCGGTTAATTTTGTAGTTATGATTTTGCAGTTTGGGTTTTACACCAGTGTTGCCACCCAAATCATTTTCCACCTACCAAATGTACCAAAACGTTTTTGAGAGTACCAAAAAGATTTTTTTTGCAGGAATAAAAAAAGCTTTTTTCTTATTCAATATTTTCCAATAAAGAAAAAGGGTTAAACATAACTTCACAGAATTAATGTTTGATAAAAATTATTCAGAAACAAATAAAAAAGTCTAAGTTCGGGCGGGGCCGAACATTAGAGGCCCGGCGCAATTATTAAATATAGTTTTTTTTCACCTTTTTGAAAACTACCGCTACATGGTAAGCAGGGGTGGTTTTATCTCTATGCAACACTGTTTTCCACTCGTCGACGAAATCAGAGAACGTATATGCGTTTTCCGGCATAAATATACGTTCAGAGTTTGCATTAAATTTTACGATATATTATATGGTCAATCTGACTAATAGATGGCGCGCATAACAAAGAAACAAACCGAAAGGAATGACTATTTGAAAGCCACTGTGGTGTATACGGAAGTGAAATGAAAGACTGTTAGAGATTAAAAAGGTACGCACGCGATGTTTATAGTGCTCATCCACTTTAAACAATTTTATTTCCGCCCTAGCCACGAAATTTTAGGTCTACATTGTGGCTTTTTTTGGCTATCCTTTAATGTTACTTTGTCTATAAGTAATTTTTTTTCGGGAAACAATAAATTTTAATATATATTTTTTTTTGAACAAAAAATGAACAAAACGTAAAAGTTGTGATTTCATCGATTCTTCTGTATATCTTATATCACTGAACTACTAAACGGCTGGACCGATTTGGATACAAATTTGTGTGTATTTGGGCCCTGTTCGCGTACGCCCTATCCAGTAAAATCCAGTACTAAATTTATTGGCTTCTACTGGATGTCGTTTTCGTATGCAAAAACTTGCAAGAAGCCAGCAAAAGAGAGAGAATTGAGAGAGCAAAAATGACAGCTGAACTTGTAAGTTTTACTGGATGTTTACTAGATAAATTTTTACTAGTAACTATTTACTATTAAGAAAAACAGCTGATGGCATGATGCTTAATACAATTCACATTACCAAAAGAATTGTTTGTGGTGCTTTTAGAGTTGCAATTAACAAAAAAAACTTATTTAAATATACATATCGCACACCGTCTTCAAAAGAGTCATAACTCAAAATAATACGTTTGTAAGAAAATGCGAAAAACTATTTCTTAGCACATGATAATCATATGGGCAAGGGCGACTTTACCCTGGTTTTTTTTTAAACAAATTATAACAAAAATTTACTCCAGCTTTTGCTGAAAGGTAAATAAAAAATCTGTGTACACTTTTAGCATATAATCTCAAAAATGCCAAATTTTGAATTGTGAATCTTTTGAAGACGATGTGCGATATATTAAGATGGGAAGTACTATTTTCCTTAGAAAATTGCGTCGGAAAATAACAAATTAATCAGCTGTCCATTGGCTTACTCCCCGAAATTTGGTTACTGGCATGCTAATGGATATTTTTTGCTGGAGAATACGAAAACACAACTAATATTTCAAACAAAATCTTCTACAAAAAAAAAATTCTAAAAATTCAACCGTAATTTTTAGCCATTTGAGTCTTTTACTTTATTCTACTAGAATTCAGTGGGCTACAAAACTGCACGACATTATGATCTCTCTAAGAAATCTAATTAAAAAGCACGAAATTTTTACGACCATTTTTTGATTTTATTTTTATATTACACAAAGTTTTTAACTTGACCGATGACCGATCTCTAAATTTTCATATTAGGCAAGGGCTGTGCTTTTGACAGGCGTCTTTATTCATAAGACAATCGATTTTTTTAACCAGTGTAATGTAGATATATTTTTCTTTTCAAAGTAGCACTAAATCTAAAAAAAATTTTAGTTGACAAAGGTATGCCGTGCTTAAACCTGCCAGATCTGCAAAAGTTCTGTTGAAAGTTTTATTGCCATTGCTTCTCCGTAATATATATAATATTCCCTTTCCCTTAACCACAATATAACTTGTATTGTTTTCGGGATCAAAATATCACCGTAATGCCTGCCTATTTACATATGTCTGTTACATGTAAGTCTGTTTACTTATACATATCTATTACATACACTTTACGAAAGCGCACTAGTCGAAACCGCAGCTACTTAGCCCAGTAAATGAATGAAAGTGCCTTTCGGAGGCATTAGCGTGCAAGTGTTTGTGGTCAATGCGAAAATACAGGTTAAGCATGGCTTTTTGGATTTGTATTTATTGACCGCAAATGCAGCCGCGCCGTCACGGTCGACAATCAACAGCCACTGCCCCACTTGCCACACCCCGAAGAAAGCCAAAAGATAAAACAGATGCTTGCTATTGGCGAACCAAAACAGGATATCTGCAACGCGAAGAAGCCAAGCCAAATAGGGCCAAAAAAGATAGAATCAACTAAAATTGCATACAAAAAACATTGCATACTCTTATATGTGGTGTCGTATGTTTATGGAAAGTAAACAAATAAATGTACACCTACACCTATACATAAATATGTACTTTTTCTGTTGTGCTATTTAAATAAATAAAAGATTTCTGCAACTCCGTGCGCTATGTTAGCTTCGTTATCAAAGTGCAACATGTGGCATGTAGTCTAGCAAGTTGCAGCTGGTTCAACTCTTTCGATACGGTTGACCGAATTTCGTGGCAAATTTCCTGTTTTTCTACTTGAAAAGAAATGACACCGGGTGCAAAAGGAAAATGCGGGTTTTGCACGCCAATAGAAAAATATAAAATAAAACGAGTGAATAATGGTGTCTGAGTGAAGAATCTGAGTTATGTAAAATGTGACGTGAAGCAACCAAACTCGCCAATGTTCAGCATTGCTAGCTAACTTTGTTATTGCATTTAAATAGTAATTTATCGTTAAACGAGCAAAGATCAAAAATAACGATAAGAGGCGAATCGAAGGCGGCTAATGTACATATACATATATTCGTGTACAGAAAAATTTGGGAAATAGCTCATTCTCAAGTTAAGAACAATTACATAACTTACTTTTTCAATACAGTTCTTTTCATTGCGAAAATTACCTTTTTGTTGAGAAGGGTAGAATTCTAAGTTAAAATGGCTGAAAATGATTTTATTTGAGATTGGATAAACATATTGCATTTGCACTTTATTTCAAATTGTTACAAATACTTGAAACTAAATTTTGTTTAGATGTTCTACATGATTATAACATGGCATAGAATCTCCACCTTCTTTATTGACGCTGTAACCGCCTAAGCGATTTTGGCCGAGTCACACAGGGAACACCAGTCGTTTCTTTTCTGTGCCACCTGGTGCCAATTTGAAATGTGATGTGAAGCCAAGTCCTTCTCTACTAGGTCTGTCCATTGCAGAGGAGGCGTTGCTCTTCCTCTGCTACCAGCATCGCGGCCGGTGTTGAATACTTTTATAGCTGGAGAGTTTCTGTCCATTCGAATGACATGACCTAGCTAGCAGAGCCGATGTATTTTAATTCGCTTCAGTATGTCTATATCGTTGTAAGGCTTATACAGTTCATCATAAATGCCCGTAAATCTTTCGCTGAAACTTTATCTCGAAAACTCAAAGTGCGTTTCACCAGATGTTTTCGTTTTTCTTGAAAGAGTGATTCTCCATTGGATTTCAAGGCTAATGCTGGTACCTAAATAAATGAAGTACTCTACTTTTTCGAACATATAACTGTCAACAGTGCCGTGGGCGCCGAGACTGATTGTCAGATGCTTGGAGATAGTTCGTTTTGTCCTCGTTCCCCACCAGGTATATTCGCTTTTCTTCTATATAGGCGTAGCACTTGTTTTTTCCGATTATGTCGATTTCGGCGGCAAAGTTCTGTGGCTCTTATTTGCTATCCAACGTCAGAAATAACATGAAAAATTTCTGAAACCGCGTTTGGTATCAGACGACTCGGTAAGGCCCTTTACAATTCAAACGTTGCTTGTGCTAATCCTCAGCATCATTTTTCACACCCACATCAATCTAGCGGGGATACTAAATCCACACATCGCGACACAAAGACAACTTCTTTTCGCGCTGTTGAAAACGGCTTTGAACTCGACAATGCGTGTCGAAGCAATTCTCGCGAGACATTTCCAAGATTTGGCATATTTTGAATACCTGATCTATGGTGGATTTTTCAGGTCTAGAGCCACGCTGATAAGGTCCAACCAGTTCGGTGAGCATAAGCTTAAGTTTTCACAAAACACGCTCGTTAAGACCATTCAATAATTGCTTAGAAGGCTGATATCGCGGTAGCTGGTACGTAGCGCGGGGTCTCATTTCTTGTATATTGGGCACAGCATACCTAAATTCTAGTACTCTAGTTCCAACTCCTCGCCGCCGTTCTTGAGTAGCTCTGGCCCAAAAACATAGTGGAGCGACGAGCAAAGCGTCCCTACTCGTCACTATGCGCGCTCCCATTGAAACATATTCGTTTGTAATCCACGCTTTTCTCGATGTACTAAGTACTTCTAAAACACTGGAAACGTGCCTTACATCTGTCACAACATTTGGTTCACATTTTTCGATCTGAATACAGCCACATAACTTTGTAGACTTTTTTTCTAAAACCTAGTACAGCATACTACTATGTTTCAGGCCCGGGAGAAGTCGATCAGTCTCACTTCATTAATGGACCTTTTGTCATGAAGGCTGTATTTTCTGACATTGGGGGCAAAGATCCCTTCATTCCACACCTCGACAATGAAAACGCCGAGTATGATTTTGATATCGTGATAGGGAGCAGCTCTCGTATGTGTGATTCAAGCGCCAATAGAAGGGATCATTTAGTGCTCGTCATTCCCTTCCGTGGGCGCAGATGGGCGAGATGTTAAAGAATCTCGATTTGATGCAGATTGAAGCTAGATGCTTGTCCACACAGGGTCGAACGACAGTACTCGGTGACGGAATATCTCACCCACCACAAATTCAACATCAAATTCGCTCTCCTTTATGTGGCAGCTGTAGTAGACGTCGCCAGGCCCTACGCTTTTCTGACATTCTCCATCCATGGGATTTCTTTGTCAGCCTTTGTCTTCCTGAGGATATCA